TTGATTTGAAATGTTATGCGCAAAGAAAACTCGATTTAAGAGAATTGTATTAAAAAATTCATAAGTTTCGAACAAAGTCTCTTGGAGATATGAGACTTTCACGAATTAGACCTTTCAGCGATAGCTTATATAAAACATACATGTTTTTGAAATGTTCATATTTCAACAAGAGTTTGTTCAAAGCTTGTGAATTTTTTTCATGCAAGGTAGTCTAGTTGAATTCTCTATATGTGACAAGTTTCAGATCAAAATTCGCAAATACAAGTTCTCCAAAAATCTAGATCCTCTAGAAAAAAATTCTTTTAGAGTTTTTGTTAGAACTCTATTTAATATCTATAGACAAAAAATTATAAAAATCGAAAAGAGACATTTGAGTAGGTTCCATCGTTATCAATGGCAATGTCAACTTTTCTCACATGAGCTACAAAAAAAAAAAAAAACTAATCAAATTACATTAAAGATAATATTCAAGTTATTTTTGCATCTTCATCTTTTCTTCACTCTTATTTTCCTCTATTTATAAATCTTCAATAAATTGACAACAAGACTATCAAATTTTGATTGAATTCATATTATTCTTTTTTTTAACAGTTAAATATGTAAGACGATCAGCATAAAATTTAAAACCACTTCGACATGTTGTACGAGAACATAAAAGTGTATGAAGTTCTCCTAATTGATTATCACATATTTCTTCATTCGTATCATTCCCTTCTGTCGATAGGTCATCAACTAAATAATTGATATTATTTTCAGGCAGTCTTCGATTCGGTCCGAATCAGTCCTTTCGCGTTTCAGTCTCATTTGATGATTTTTCAGTTCGATCCCAATATTATCAAATACAATGGCTCATAATTATTTTTAATAGAGTAGAAAATAACTTATATGATATTGAATAACAAGCTAAATACAAAAGTTATCAACATTTATAACTCATAGATACTGACATATATATAGTAAAAAAACAGTTCTTTGTTTTTACTTCTTCATACGTTTCGTTTTTACAGTTTTACCGCTTTGAATTGCTAATCGTAAATCTGTCAGTCTACCATCGGTGTGTCCACTGGGAACAACAAGAAGTTGTGCATGACCTTACACGGCAGCGCTATTCGGTGCTGTCTTAATACTCTCATTTAATAGTATATTGAAAACTTTTCTAATCAAGTACAAGTGTATTACGATGTCTAGTTGTTACTGGCATATTACTTGTTGTTCGTCTTTTGTATTCAATACATATTTCTTAACTATGATCACTTATGCGTCATCTGGTTTAAGCCGGACGATTATATGCATTCTGCTCCAACCAATGACCACTAGAAAATGGATTCTTTAAACGACTATTCATGAAAATGGCAGAAGACTTATCTTCTTTTAATTTGGTGAATTATGAACGAACTGGAAAGGGACCGAATTAAGAAAGAATCCAATCGAGATAAGATCCAAGTGAGAGATAATCAAATGAGACCGAAACGGGGGTAAACCTTATTTTCTAGTTTAGTCATTTATAAAAAAGAAATCAAGAATAACAAAAAAAAATAAATTTCCCATTTTTATTTCCCTAGTTCCAAAAACTACACGTCTTGATGTAATAGGAATATTAATTGATGAACCGCGTAATCAACACCTACATCAGATACAGCATTTTTTATTAATCGAAAATGATACACTTGTATGTTCAATAAATAAACGCAATAAACCAATTTTAATTTGTTTTATGTCAGATATTTGTTGTAAAATTTCGTTTGTTACTAAATATAAAACTACTTATTTTGGTGATAATGTTAGAACTTTTTGACACCATATTATCTAGAAATTAAAGATAAACTTATAGAATTTCACCTAGAATAAAAAACATTCTTCATATGCACATCAACATGATCATGATAGTCGAATATAGATGATCTGTAGAAAAAAAGACAACAACAAAATAGAAAAAACATAATTTGATTTCTGTTGGAATATCATTCATAAATCATTAAAACAGTGTACAAAGCTCGTCGATCAGTAAGAACACGTACAATCAAACCGAAACCAATAACTGCAAGAACTCTTAATAAAGTAAACAAAAAAAGTAATAAAGTATTACTTGAATAATCTTTCGGATTTTAAAAATCTTAATAAACGTATTTCATTAATGTATCACGTAATGATACAGATAAAGAGTTGACAGCATCTGAAATTTCAGTTGGTTTTATTTTTATCATTGTTAATAATGCGATATGAACTGCTTTTTTTCTATAAAAACTATGATTTATATTATCGATTGAGTTATAAAACAATGAGATGCATTCTATTTTAAATTATATAAGGAAACTATTTACAATGTTCGTCTCCTAACCAAGAGGTTTGTACTAAAAAAAAGAGACCAATCGATTGAGAACTTTAAGTTCTGTCAGTTTCAAAAAGCCGTTTTTGTTTTCGAGACTGGTCTTAATCTTCAAAACCTGATTTTTATTGAGAATAGGCAACGAAAACACAAAAAAAAAGTGAAATTTTTCAAATTCCATCATATGTTGCTCATATTTGAATATATTTAAAGGCTAGAAAGTTGCGAAAATTCTTATTTTACACGAAATTCAATTCTTTACAAGCTTAACTTCAAAAAAATTCAACAATGAGTATGAAGTAGCAAAAAGTGATCTTTTTTAGTAGCTCATCAGAGTTTGAAATTGAACGTTTTTTTAAATTTTTTCTCCTGCTTTTTTTCATTATCTATCGATTGATCTCTTTTGTTTTCACTTGGGTACAAATCTCTTGATTAGAAGATGTAAAACATTCGGAAGCACATAAATCTGTTTTTAGGTGGAGAAAATTATTTTAATCATGAAAAATTTATACAGATAAACAGATTTCCGTCTAGAATATATTATGTAGCCGATCTATCATACTATCTATATTACTATTTTGAATCAGATCTATACCCTGTGATGTGAAATAAAATCTGAGATTCATGACTCGAATCAATTATTCAAAAAAAATCGACAATTGAGAATTTGACACTAATATCATTTTCAGAAGAAGTTGATGGTTTTATGTAGCAAGAAAGTTTAGTCACGACACTCTAATTCATACTATTTATTAATCAACTTGCTAGGAAAATACTATGTGTTTTCTCAAAGCAAGTTTTTAACAATTACAACAGTAGACAAAAGTCCTTTACGCTAACAGGTTTTAGATACCATAGGTACCCGAGATCTGAAACTTTTTATGCACATAATCTATAGAGAATGTAGATCAGGTTCGCCAACTTATCCCGATTGCTTAAACACAATGGGAATTATGATAGATAGCAGTTATTTTGCCTTTGAACTTCATATTTCTGACAAGAAAACCGGTTCCTGATTACATGTAGCGATCCACACTATTGATTTCATCAAAGTTCATAAACTCTTGTTAGAATGGTTGCCATTTTACTATGACTGTTAGAAGGACAACAAACTTATTAATGCCTTTTGTAGACTGTAGCTCAGTAATACTTCAACATCTTCTGAATAGAAACGGCATGTCAATAATCATTGCGTTCGTACTGAAGCCTCATAGATATCTAGAGGCGGCAATCTTCCAGCAAAATACATGGTCATTTGGGTGACGAAGGATCACATATTGTCATAGAAAGATAACGTAAGATTGCATAGACAGCAAATTTTTCACTTAATCGGCAAAAAACCAATAGAAAATCTGTTGGTTCAATTACAGAATTCAACTAGTAAGAAAGCAGGCCCTTGTATTTGTCAATTAACAAACTATTTTCTTTCAGAAAAGGTTAATTAATACCACTTCACAAAGAGATTGATTTAATGTTTTATTTGAAAAAGTTATTTAACATATTTGAGGGTAAGATGTCATTTTGTTTTTAGTTACCTTGAAAAGTCAAGAAAAAATAGAATCCTTTTTTGAAGAACTTTACCTTCCGTCAGTTACTATTGCCAATAGCAAAACTGAATAAGATACAATGTTCGATTTGGAAATAGATATCGTTTCTTTAGATTTATTTTTATTGAGAACTGCTTTTTTTATTAAAATGTGCATAGTATTAACATGTGGTATAACTTTCACATTGCAACAATATTTTGTTCTGGCATCTAGACAACTAGAATGTAATCTGAGAATTTCTGACCATTAAGAGTTTTTCACTGTCAGTGCAGAGCAATTCAGAAGTAAGTTTGACGTTTTCAGATGGGATATTGACTAGTTTACATCTTGTTTAGGTCCTAAAATGGTGGGTCGCGCTATATCACAATTTTGAGGTAGAATTTCGATACCGACTAGAAATTTATGTGATTTTGCCTGGAGAGAAATCTCATTTAGTACTAACTCTAATAAAAGATTCAGCTCGCTAGCCAGTTTCTATCGCTCAGGGATCGACTCTCGACTTCAAAATGAGATAAGTTTATTGGACAAGTTATAATTTCTTTAGCATTTTTTTTCTGAAGATGTAAATATATGAATAAAATTTCTCTTTACACATAATTTTTCGAATATAATTTGAAGTGGATTTTTCACGTAACTTTAAGAGATTGCTCACTAATTAATACTCATCAAGTAAACATCGTCTTGGTCAAAAAAAGTTTTCACGGTATGGACTCAGTGCCATCTCACACCACTGTAAACTCTAATATACTTCAGAATGTGGTTGATAGCTTCGGTCATCGAAATGAAGATTGACACATTTATAAGTGTTTCTAATAAGATATTTTTAACAACGAAATGATTATAATATGTGTGTCTCTGATGTTTGAGTATTTTATTGTTAATGACTAGATAAACGACAAAAAGAAAAGAAAAGTAATATAGCAAACACACAAGTAAAATCTACCATACGTCACACATACATATAAAGAGCAATTAAAAAAAAAGAATAAAAACTCATCTCATTGTTATAAAGTTCAAAAAGTTAAAGTGCAAATAAAAGAGAGAAAAAAAAGAGAAAAGAAAGAGAGAGCGGTATAACATATATGTCCAATTGACACACATGGAAAAAGAATAGTCTTTTTATGTTTTTAAAGTTTCTTTACTTGGGCAAAAAATCCTGATGGTCCACCAGCTGTTTGTTTAAATAAATTTGCATGACATACAGCACATCGACTAACATATTGTCGTTGTGTACCAGCTTTTAATGTACGTAATTTTGGTTTTTCAAATCCAGTATAATCATCTAATGTAGCTAAATAAAATGTCATCATGTTTGGATAATAATTGCAATGTGAATGATCTTTGCAATGAAAATATGGTCGATCATGATATTTTTCAAGACATGAACCAGGTGATTGTAAACTTTGTTGATCACCACGACCACCATCAGCTGATGTAAATACAAAACTATAACCAGTCCATAAAAGATCATATCCATCGGGACACGTTGGTACACGTTGTGATTGACTATGAATTGCAAATACAGGTGTTGATGATTCACAAACAACACAACGACTTAAATGACTTGGTATATCACGTGTTTCAAATGGTGACATACTTGCTGACATTGGTTCATTTGTTGATAACCAATATGAATAATCATTACGTGAAGCATAATGACATGAATTACCAATATCACAAAATAAGAATGGCATAGCACTAAAACGACGTAAACAACTACCCGAAGAACCTATTTAAAATAAGAATTTGAAAATTTGTTGTTTTCTTTTGTCTCTAGAGATTTTACCAAGATCTTGATGGGCGGCATATGTATCACCTTGAATACCCATAAATGAATAACCACCATCTTGTAATCTAGTTGTTCCATGTGGACATTGTGGAGTTGTAGTATCTTGGCTGTGTCTACAAAAAAGAAATCGATGATAATTTATTTATTTCAATTTGATTATCACATACCGTGCAAATATGAATGAGCCATCACCAGCGTCACCTGGATAACCGGGAAGCCCAACAGTACCTGTTTACAAGAAAAAAAACAAAAGAATAAAATTATATTTGTTAATTTGCTAAGAAGAGTCCTCCTTGCACTATTGTTCATTGAATTTATGATGAGATACAAGAGCCTAGCCGAACCGTACTTTAATACTCTCAATACAATTTTCTTTAATGTATCGAGCTGAAAATCGTTTTATTTTTGAGGAGGAACCTGTAATTTAAAACTTACCTGGAGAACCGGGTGAACCATGTAAACCAGATCTTCAAGAAAAAAACGAAATTCATATAAATAATAAATAAATATTACAACTTACGGTCCAGGATAACCACTATCACCAACTGGACCACGAGAACCTAACGAACCTGGACTGCCTATAAGAAAACAAGCGAAACAGTCATTGATTGCATTTCTTTTTTGTTGAAGTTATTCATTTACCTGAATGTCCTGGAAGACCTACTTGACCTGGCAAGCCTTTCGGTCCAGGATAACCTATTTGGCCTGGTAGTCCAGGAGCACCTAAAAAACAAATCGTATATGAATATTGAAGTGTTTTGTTTTCAATAATCTATTTGCTAACCAGGATATCCTTGTTCACCACGTCCACCTTTAGGACCTGCTTGTACATTAACCTATAGAAAAAAAAGGATAATTCTTGTAACAAGAAAAAAAATGATTTCTTACCGGTGCAATAGATGGTTCTCCTTTTGGACCTGGTAAACCTGGACGTCCATCAGAACCTGGTAAACCTATAAATTAAATGAATTTCAATTCCGTGTATTAGAAAAATATGATAGTAAAACTAACCAGCATCACCCATTGCTCCTTTAGCACCCGGAAATCCAGGAACTCCTTGAAGAAACAAAAACAGGTTTCAATAAAACTTATGTCTTCTTAAGCAAAAGAATAAGACTTACCATTTGTGCCTGATTCGCCTCGTCTGCCGGGAAGACCTGGATTTCCAATCGGTCCTGGTTGACCCTTTATAAAATGAAATATAATTTAATCAAAAAAAAAAAACAAATAGATTTTTGTTACCGGTAATCCTTTTGCACCTGGAGCGCCTGAGATACCAGGAAGACCACTTGCACTGAGCGAACCCGGTAGACCTAAATATTAATAAATTCTTGTCTGTATTATAAGCTCCATAGTCAATATACCTGGTGGACCAACTAAGCCTGGTTTACCATCTCTTCCAGGAAAACCTGGTGCTCCTGCTCGACCAGGTAAACCATCTTGACCACGATCTCCCTGTGGACCTCGTCTACCAACTGATCCTACACCTGAAAATAATTAAATGTTTGATTAGAACAAATTAATGTAAATAAAAACGTTAAAAAAAGAAATGACATACCATCACGACCTGGTGGACCTGGTCGACCAACGTCACCTGGTGGTCCTCTGGAATAATAAAAAAAATGAGTTTAACATACCATGGTATCACAAAACTTACTTAAGACCTGGCCGACCTGGAATACCATCACGACCTGGCTCACCACGAAGACCAGGCAATGAACGACCACCTGAAATAGAAGAAAATACCACAGGATTATATTAAATTAATTCAAGAACGAAATATGTTTTACATACCACTTTCACCTGGTAGACCTTTCATACCAGGACGTCCAGGTAATCCAGCATTTCCTTTAGGTCCTGGATATCCAGGTGCACCTAAAAACAACAGAAGAAATGCCGTAGAATTCATGCTTTTAATCATAACGCACCCTGTCGTCCAGGTTTGCCTGGAATGCCAGATAGGCCTCGTTCTCCTCGTGCACCGGGATATCCATCACGACCTAGAAGAAAATGACAAAATAATCGATTACATACATAATAATTCTTTTCATTATCTTACCTGCTGATCCTTGCGCACCGGAAAGGCCTGGAGCACCCTTTAATAATATGACGAACAATAACATTCCAGTTTATCAATAATGAACTTACCGGAAGACCTAAATTAAAATATTGACAAATACAAAATTTAGAAAAAACAGGATATATCATATCATACATACCAGCATCACCAACTGCTCCATTAAGTCCTGGTGCGCCAGGTGCACCAGCATCACCTGGTTCTCCTTTTCGTCCTAAAATCATATAATTATCATCAAAGTTAAGAGAAAAATTTTCATTTCATTTTTATTTACCGATTGCGACAGCTTGTCCATCTCGACCTGGTTCTCCAGCCATTCCTTTAAAACCAGGAAGACCAGGTGAACCAGCACGACCGGGCATACCCTAGATTTCGAAAAAAAAGCTTCAGACTTAAATTCAATACAACTTTATTTTCGAAACTTACGCGATCACCAGGTTGTCCAGGACCTCCCGGATAGCCTATATATATAATATTAGCAATGATTATTGCACACTCAAATTAATATACATACCACTGTCGCCTGGTTTTCCTTTCAGTCCAGGTAATCCAGGAGCACCTGCGAGACCGGGTAAACCTATCAATGAAAAAAAAGATATAATATTATCAATGATTAAGTTCAATTGTATCACTTTACCTGGAAATCCAACAAGACCTGGTTGTCCTCGTGGTCCGCTAGGACCAGGTGAACCAGGCTAAATAGAAACAACAGTATTGTTATGCAAGAATTTCGAAAAATAAGAACTAAATTTATACTTACAATTCCGCGAAGACCTGGAGCACCGGGAAGACCAGGAAGACCAGGAAGACCAGGTTCACCTCGTATACCTATAAGAAACATTAAACGTATATATATAGTTTTTAGCCATCACAAATTTACCAGTAACGCCTTTGAACCAATCACCCATTTCACCTTTCAAACCTGGTAAACCGGGACGTCCTAGAATAAAGAATTATTGTAGAAAAAGAAATTAAGCTTGTCACTCATGAGTTGAATAACTTACCATCACGACCAGGTAAACCAGGAGCACCAGCAAAGCCAGGAAGACTAGAATAAGACAAAGAAATTTAATATAGAAATAAAACTTTTATATAATTTCTTGTTTACCCAGGTTCACCTGGAGGTCCTTGAAGACCAACTACAACATAAATAATGCATAGTTACATTTAACGTATTTTTCTCTCTTATTTTTCTGTATACGTACTTGTGCCAGAGTCGCCCGGAAGACCTTTAAGACCCGGCATACCTGGTAGACCAGTTTCTCCTACAATATAAAAACTCTTCTTCTTCTTTTCTGCTTTATTTATATACATTTACCTATGTCTCCTTTTCGACCAGGTGCACCAGCACCACCGTCAAGACCTGGTGCTCCGACATCACCTACATAATAAATTAAAAATAGTATTCATTAAATTAAATTCATTTTTTGAAAGAATTTACCTTGATATCCTTTAGGACCTGGTAAACCTGGAAAACCATTTGGACCAGGACCGCCAGGTAATCCACCTAAATATAATTTTCATCATTCGTATTATTTTCTCAAACAGAAGTTCTATCTTCACTTACGTTCACCAGGAATACCAGGACGACCTTTAAAAATAAAAAAACAATGAACCAAACTGTACAAAACAGAAAAAAAAATTAAAATAAAAACTTACCTTTCATTCCCATCAAACCAGGATATCCAGGACCGCCATGGTCACCACCTATTTTTATGAAGAGAAAAAATTTTTAATCTAAAAATAAACTCGAATAACATGTATACATACGTTCGCCTGGTTGACCTGGAAAACCTGGTGAACCATCATGACCAGGAAGACCCTATTTATTAAGATGTACATTGAAAGATTGTATTTATTTCATTAAAGACATACCATATCACCAGGTAAACCACGAAGACCAGGTGCACCAGGAGCACCTGGAGCTCCAGCTCGTCCGGGAGCTAAACGAGGAAGAAATTGAGTATATGCATCAAAATTCTATAGAAAGTATTTACCACCAGCTCGACCACGAGCACCAGGAAAACCGACATCACCATATAAACCGGGTGCAGTACCACCTAAAAAGAATTCATATGTACACATTTTTAAATAAATATAATAAACATACCTCTTTCTCCTTTAGGTCCTTGTAGACCAGCTTGTCCAGGAAGACCATTTACACCTATAAGCAAAATCAACTGTTAAAAAAAATCATTCATCATATTATAAACTCACCTGGCATGCCTGGTACACCACGTCCACCAGGTAAACCACCTAAAATTATAAATTATTACAAAATAAGATTATTTAAAATCGTCAATAACTTACGTGGTCCTGGTAAACCAGGGGCACCACGTTCACCAGTAACACCCTTTGGACCTGGATAGCCTTGTGGTCCAGCAATTGTTGCAATCGCAGGTTCACCTCGTTGACCCTATGTATAAACAACAAGTGTATAAATTATGATAAAGATTATTCTATGACATTTACTTTGGCGCCTGGTATACCGGGTGCACCAGGAAGTCCACTCATTCCAGGAGCGCCAGGTCTACCGAATAAGAATAACGTAATATAAATAAACATAAAAAGCAATTTTCCTACCGTCCTTCAAGACCAGGTCGTCCATCAAGACCAGGGTAACCTATATAAAAACATTAGAAAAAAAAAACAGGACAAACTTTGTTTCTAATCTACCTTTGACACCATGTTCTCCTAAAAAGAAAGATTATATCATCATATGATGTGAATATGATTAGTTCAACAAACCTGGTAATCCAGGAAGACCAGGTCGACCATCTTCACCCTAAATACATACAAACATACATTTGTTCATTTGCAGATTTAAGATAATAAATTTTCTTCTTACCTTTGGACCATGCATACCACTAGCACCAGGAAAACCATCTCGTCCAGGTAAGCCAGGAGCACCTTATTTATATTTTAAATATTAATAAAAATTACTCAGAGAAAATTTTATTCGATTACTTACCAGGTAGACCCGAAGTACTAGAAGAAAGCAAAAAATAAAGCATTGATTTATATGATTTTTAAACAAATATCAAATTTTACCCAGCATCTCCAGGAAGACCTTTCATACCGGGTGGACCAGGTGCTACCTCCGATATTGGTGCATCATCACCAGGTAGACCAGGAAGACCAGGTCGTCCAGTTTTGCCTGGTGGACCTTGTTCACCTATGTCACCACGTGGTCCACTTGCAAATATTTGTCCGGGCGGTCCAGGTTGACCTCGTGGACCTATTAATAAATATTAAAAATAAAATTAATCAATGTTTTGCTATTATATAAACGTTAAATAATTTACCTTTCGCTCCTGAAATACCCTGAGCTCCTGGTCGTCCAATATCACCCCAAGAACCCTGTAAAAAAAATATTTGTATATATAAATAGAAAATCATTATCATTTAAAAATATACTCGTGCACCAGGAGCACCAGGAGCACCGTCATAACTGAAATTCAACAAATAAAAATATTACAATTATCTTTCTGAATCAAAATCATATATACCCATCACGTCCATTGACACCAGTTTCACCAACGTCACCATGATAACCTTTAACTCCAGGTTCACCATCTGCTCCTCGACGGCCTTTATTAAAAATATTAAATAAAATAAATTTTTTAAATATTCATGCTTACCTTTAATACCATCAGCACCGATCATTTCGCCAGGTTCACCTTTGCGTCCTGGAATACCTGGATAACCATTTCGACCCGGAATTCCCTTAAATAAATTTTCAGATCGTATATCAATAACGAATCATTGCAATTAAAACTTTTTTTTTTGATAGAACTATTTACGTACATCTGGCCCAGGTAAACCAGGAGATCCAGATTGGCCACTAGGTCCTGTATCACCTTTTCCACCTGAATAAAAACAAATATAATTATATTTTTTTTCTAGAGATATAGAGGATTTGGCAAATAATCACCTCGAAAACCGGGTGCACCATTCAACTAGAAATAAACAAAGATTTTTGTGGCTGATGAAGCATATTATTTAAAAACTACTTACACCAGGTCGTCCACGATAACCTACACTACCACGATCACCTTGAAGACCAGCAACAGCAGGTGGACAAAATCCACAACCGCCAGATTCACCTTTAAAAAAGAGCACACAAAACAAAATAAATTGTCTTATAGTTTCTTCCAATATACTCACCGACATCACCCTTTTGTCCAGGAACACCTAAACAACAAAATATGTTTTTTTTGTTAAAAAATCTTGCCAAAAAAGAAACAAAGTCAAGTTACATACCAGGATAGCCTGGAGTACCGGGTTGACCTGGTCGACCGGGGTATCTATAATAAGAAAATATAATATAAAGTAATACTTAACAAAAAAAACATTATTCACCCTTGTGGACCAGTTGGGCCATATCCTAAACACAAGAATTACACATTAGAATATCATCAATAGAAAAAAAAAACAATATATGTTTTTCTTACCTTGATATCCTTGAAAACCTGGTTCGGCAGGAAGGCCTTACATTTAAAAAAAAAAATTATTATTAATATGATCGATTTATAACAATACTTACCTGGTAGACCTGGTTCACCACTATCACCTGGAGGTCCAACCAAACCGGGATCTAAAGAAGTCAATAGATAACTGATGTGTTTTAACATAAAAAAAAAAGATAAACTTACAGCCAGTACGACCCGGAAGACCATTATTTCCACGTGGACCTATATAGAAATGTTTCATTTTTTTAGAAAAAGAAAAGAAATATATATACATACCGTATGTGTCTTCACCAGGTAATCCTTTATCACCAATGGCACCCTTCTCACCCGGAGTACCTAATTTAATTAAATGGTTATAGGTAAAACGAAAAAAAAAACAAATTAATATTACCAGCAGGACCCGGTAGTCCAGGAGGACCAGGAAGACCTAAATAACGAAGAAGAAAAAGAAAAATAATATTATAATGAAAAAAAAATATTCAACAACTTATTACATACCATCAAAACCTCGATCGCCCTTTTCTGCATCAGCTGTATCTCCCATAGGACCAGGTCGACCAGGTGAACCATAACCACCTCTTTCACCTTTCATTCCTTCAAGGCCTATAAACCAAAGCATATGATTATATTGATTAATCATTAGGCGATTATTTACCAGGTAAACCAGGAACTCCTGCTAATCCAGTTGGGCCAGCATCACCTGTCATTCCCTAGAAAGAAAATTATTCAAAACAGAACTTCAATTTAAACTGTAAATAGTTAATATATACCGGATAACCTGGTGGTCCAGGAAGTGGTCGAGCTCGTCTAGCACCATAAGTCTACACAAAACATAACAGAAATAAGAATAGGAAAAGAAAACTTTCATTTCTTACATTTGGACCTTGTTCACCAACGTCACCACGTTGTCCTTTCGGACCAGGATATCCATTTCGACCAGGTTCTGCAAGATAGAAAAAAAAACGCAGCATGATATTACCATAGTCTTTCTCTTATTAATTAACTTACCGCCAGGAAGGCCATCAGCTCCAGGTGGACCCGCTGGTCCTAGAAGACAAAAAAAAATAGGAAAACTTAATACAACAATGATCTAAAAAAAATAACAACAGACCTGTTGTTCCTTTGACACCAAATGAACCTTGTGGACCTTCTTTACCAAATTTACCCTATTTTTTTTAATAAAAGACAGTTAAATATATAAAAATTGTCTATCATTAAATTTACTTGTGGACCAGGTGAACCAGATTCACCTTTTTCTCCTTTAGGTCCTTGTAAACCATTGATACCCTATAGAAAAGAAAAAAGAAATATTTCTTATTTTAATAATTATTGCATAACTTTACATACATAGTAGCCTTGTTGACCACGTTCTCCTTTATAACCACGATCACCATCTGGTCCACGTGGGCCTGGTGGTCCTTCTACATTTGTAATACCTTTGAAAAAATAGATTTCGTATTATTCTCAATGAAATTAATAAGCTGATTATTTGATAAAAAAACCCAAGCTGATAGTGAATAAGGATCACAGAAAAAAATGTCGGTTGTGTCTGAGTCGACTGCTCCCTGGGTATCGCTATAAAGCTCAGTAAAAAAATGTGTGTAATAATAATAATAATAGTAATAATAATAATAATAATAATAATAATAATAATAGTGGTAAAAATAATATTAAAAAAAAGCTGAGAACATGCGAACGTTATTTTTCATTGGAATTATAGTAAAATAATCCGTTCGCGTCCGCCCCCTTCATCTTGGTTCTCTTTTAAAAAAGCATGGAAAGGTAAAGCTTTATTATTGTCTTATATATTAATACTTACAGGGTCTATTTCCACACATTCGATCTATTAAATCCAAGTAAGGATATCATAGCAATGAACAAGCAAAAACGATAGAAACGCAAAATTTCACTCAAATCTGGTCTAAGTCCAACTGGTAATATCCTTTTTTGTTCCTCATATGTTTTTTAATATGATACCCTAAGAAATATTCATACCTCGTAAACGACCATATGGAACTGTGCTCGCTGACGTAGGAGCATTGTCACCTAAATACAAAGAAAATATTTTTAGAAAAACATCTTTTCACTTCGTTCGTCTTTTTTTGCCATACCTGGCTCACCACGTCCACCTTAAAAAATGAAGCAAAAATTAATTGTATATTGTTTACAAAGAGAATATTTTATTTACCTTTGATACCATAGCTTGGTTGACCAGTTGAACCTGGCAAACCTGGATCTCCTCTTAAACCAGGTGGACCCTGAAATTTAAAAAAATCGATCAAAATTATATAAAAAAAAGAGAATATAAAACTTACATCTGGTCCTGGAGACCCCACTGAACCTGGCATACCGGGAGGACCTGGAGGGCCTGGCCAGCCCTATTAATTAATCTATAGTAGTATACCTTTTTTTCGTCAATTTATACTCACAACAACACCTGGAGGACCAGGAAAGCCTGGATCACCGCGTGGTCCAAGTATGACACCATTAATGCCTACTGTTTCACCTGGTTCACCCTAATCGATATCATTATGATTTGTTACTTCAAGAAAAAACAAATTATATATAATATCTTACTGGTTCACCAACTCGACCAGGTGGACCGGGAAGGCCTGAACCACCTTCTACAACAACGCGTCCAGGTTCACCAGGTTCACCCTATAAAAGAAAAAGAATACATAAACTGAGATTTTTTTTTTTCATTTCCATGTTTTTTTTTTGTTCTCTTGAGATCAATAGATGAATAATACTATTAATTTATCATTATCTGTATTTTGTCTACTTTTACATATTACTCAAGGACAAAATGTTGTGTTGATAGATAAAGTCCTTCAAACTGTCAACAACAATTGACCGTATAGTATATTTTTCCGATATATATATCCATGATAGGTGCACAGACATAAATAGAACTAATAACAGAATTCATCAATCTTGCTGTGTCATGACAACTGGACCTTAATCTCCAAAAAAATATTGTTGATATTTTCTAAGCTTCTATTACGCCGTAAGCTTAATATACGCTTGTTATCCTATCAATCATAGCCAACAGTCACTGACAATGACATGTAGATTAATGTAGATAAGAATAAGATAGTATTGTTGTGTAGAGAGAAATATTCGTATATAGTCAAAAGAATGCCTTATCAAATTAATTAATGATGAATATTTTGATTCCTAAAATAGTTTAACTTTTTGTATTATTCATTTGATGACGTTATCATTAGTAATGAGTAACTGATTATGTTAGCTATGGCGAAGAAGCGTAGGTGGAACTTTTTTTGTTTTTATTAATCATAGGCTAAAAGTTTTTGGCAGCTGTTGTTTATCGTTAATCATCCCACGTTCTTTCAATAATTGTCTTAGTATGCATACGTATATTTGTGAATGAATAATCCATTTAACCGCAATAAGCCATCAAGGGCGAGAGACAGACATACAAAGACAAAAAGAAAACATAATATGTTGTTGTTTGTTTATATAATCCTCATTTTTTTTCTACTTATTTATCAATCCATATGAAGGAAATTTGCAAGGACTCATGCATAAAGACTAAATCAGTTAATTAGGACGTCTGGAACTTAAGATAGAATATGCGACAAACCAAACACATATGCGGTTTCATTTATCTTGACACGAAGCACTTCTTATCAAGGATATAGATTTGCTTTTTTTCTCATGTGCCTATATAGAAAAACAAGAAAAACAGACGTCGTTCTAGCATATTTTTCTTATGTGTTGATATGTCTTGTGTTGCCCCATCCTTGATTTATGTGCGATTAGTGCTTATCTAATCAAGATGAAGAAAAAGAAGAAAAAAAAAGACTATCCGCCTTCTTATATCTGTAGTAAATACGTATACAGGGACGTGCTATCTAATATATGCTGTAATGTTTTTTTATTTACCTTGCTGCCATTGCATCCTGGCACACCGGGAATACCGCGTGGACCCATAGCACCAGGTTGTCCAGGAAAACCATTTTGACCATCAATGGGCAATAAACCATCATCACCCTAAGTTTTGATGAGAAAAAATAAATAAATAAATAAAAATAAAAAAAAAAAAAAAAAAAAAAAAAATTTACTCGTTCGCCTTTGGTACCGTATAAACCACGATCGCCTTTTTCACCATGAAGACCTTGAGCACCTGGGCCTCCTGAAGGGCCTTTTAAGCCACGTTCACCTGGAATACCGGGAAAGCCTGGTGGACCTATAAAAAAATATTACAAATAAAGAAATAATGCATAATCAATTAAAAAAAAATTTAATTTTTTTTTTCTTTATTATGAAGAAAAAAAGATTAACGCACCAGAAATACCCATAGCACCCTTTCCAGGACATTGGCAATCACGTCGTGGACCGCAACCTTTACATTCTGAACCTTGAATATATGTATCATCACCATATTCCGATCGAGTCGGTCTTGCTGGAACTCTATTAAGTCTATTAACTTGTCTTTTTACTCTAACATCCGAATCGTCATTATCATTTTGTGCCTAAAATCATCATCAAGACAATGAAAGTTAATAACTAATACTAAATCTCACCGTTCGACTTTCAATTTGATTAACAATTGTCAAAAATAAAATAAAACCGATGATAATCGACCTCAATAAAGAAGCCATCGTGTGCGCGCGAACACAGACGCGGCTCACGAATATTTAAGATTTAATCTATCTAAAATACTAAACAAAAACGTTTTTCTAAAATATTCTATCTTACCATAGAAATTCAAGCAAGAAAACTTTTACATAAAATTTGGTAGTTGACACGTTTATACGATGAAAAAACGTGTTCAGTTCTCTTAGTTAGTTTATAACCGCAGTAATACTGAAACGAGAGTAATCCGCCCGAAAAAAAACAAGTTCGAGCTTTCCGACATGTATTTTTTTTGCTTTTTCCCTCTTCTCTTTCTCGATTTTTTTTCTATTTTTTTGTGTCTATTTAGGGTAGACGACAACAACAGTACGAGCAATAAGAAAAGTCGACGACAATCATCTTGGGAACAAATTATGCGGGGCGAATATCTTTCTCTAAGGAGAGAAAAAAAAAGATGTCTTGTGTATATTTGTATGCAGTATTATATATGTTATCAATTCTAGTACTCTACAGAAACATCAGAATTAGTAATACATAGTCAATATTCATCTTTCATCTGTACGAACGGAATAAAAAAAACCGCGTTTTTCTGGTTGGTGGATTTGAGTGTCACCCCCTTTCGACTCTCTCGTTTTTTCTTTTTACCCCATCTCTCTCTCTCTAAGATTGTGGTAAGACAGTTTGTATTATTGTATTAAAGAAAAAAATAGTCCAGTTTTTGTGACGCTGGCATTTTTTCTCTGCGCTTCCTCGCATTCGGTCTTTACTCGCTCGTTACAGACCATACGACGACGACAGGACAGAACTTGTAATTGTCCGTCGCCGCTGCAAGATTGCGCGTGACTCTTGGCAGCAATTATAAAGATGCATCTAACTACAAATATTTCAAAATCGTCCAATGCTTGGACTATAAGGTAAGCAATTAAATTTTCCTTTTTTTTATTCTTGTTGAAAAAGAAAGAGATATTTAAAGTTATAAAAAATAGTACTTATACCTTGATCTAAGTGTAGATTTTAGAATGAGGCAGCTCTATCAATGATCGGTTCGCTATTAGTCTGCTGTTTTCTTATTATCAATAGATCATTCATAAGAATTTTACGTTTATGATTATTTCATACATATTGTTATTGACACAAAACATATATAGACAATGATAGTGTTGAGTTTTATTTTCATATTGTATGTTGCATAAAAAGTATTGAGTTATATTTTTGTCTACATTTAATATTTGTCATTTTGATGCTAATATCATCAACTCCAGCAGAGAATGTGTATATTACGAAAAATAACTTGTTTCCAGATATTTTTTTTTCTTTCTAATAGACCTACAAGGTGACATAGAAGTAGACAAGGTTTCTTATTTGTGATGACCACAAAATAAGAGCGATATAGGAGACAAGAGAAGGACAAAAAAATTTATATCAGCAGATCTAATAATAACAACAACAGCAGAAAAACATTATATCCCGTGTCTGTATGAATAACTGGGCATCATTCTTAATTATTCATCGTATTCTTTGTCACAAGTTGAATTTCTTTTTTTCTCTTGTCGATGCATTTGGTGATATTAGGCGGAAATATCGTGTTGTTCGTCCTTAGTAGTTTGTCTTCCGTTCTTTCATGCTAATAGATTATTGAGATCACATCATAAATCCTTGGCTTATAATTTTCTTTTTCTTTCTCTTGTTTGTTTGATTACTTACTTTACTCTCATCAGTCTGCTTTCGTCGTTCTGTATGATTCTACTGTCGTCTTGTACAATAATACTACGTAGTTCTTCTTCTTTTCTGTACACTATTCGAGAATTATTAATTATCGCACTATGATAGCAAACAGCAATGGTACGAAGGACATTTTGCTCCGATGTCTATGATGATAGTACCAGACGACAGCAGGAAAACAGAAGGACTTTATCGTTGCTGTAACTGACAGTAAACAAACTGTCGTCATCGAACCGTTTAACATCGACAGCTAAAGAAATACATAGAAGATATATACCGCACAAGTTCTTTTTCTTTCTATAAGCCATTCATAAAACCGCATACTTAATGTTTCCAACGATAAACATCAATAACAAACGGCCATGTTTGAGTATTCCCAAGTAAGTTATACTGATCATTGGTCATACGGTATCATACATCATATTGTTGTACTTGCATATACACATTTATCATTTTATTGATTTGTCTAATAGATAAATATGATCAATTAGGAAAATACCGAACGATTTCTTAAAAACATATATATATAGATAAACATAGATCTATTGTTTTTTTCACTAATCTGCATTGAAGGACAGATAGAAACATTTCTTATCTATGTGAAATCAATTGAATTCTTTCTTTTATAGGCTAAACTATGCTTCTATTTTAATCGTACTTATCCTTGCCATTTTCATTGACTCAAGCAATGGTCAACAAAGGGTATGTTCATATATGTACACGGATTTATAATCCAATCATTGAACATGAATACTAGTTACAAGAAAAAAATAATAAAGCCTTCATATAAATGTTCTATTTTTTATTTTCTAGAACCCAGATAATCGTCCGGTAGCACCACCACCCGGTTATGCATTTGCACCAGGCTATGGTTCAGCCCAATATCAACCCCCACGAAATGGCAATGGTAGCAATTGTGACAATTGTAATCAACCATGTTTTTGTATAGCACAAAAAGGAGATCAGGTATATAGATAAAATAAATAAGAAAAGTATTGTTATTCTATGGCATTAATACATTTAGGGTCCATCTGGCCCAATGGGCCCCCCTGGTTCTCGAGGATTGAATGGTGTTGGTGGTCCTGAAGGTATATTATTTATGCATCTTATGATATGAATAGAAATTTTATTATATTTAATTTGTAGGACCTGAGGGTTTGAAAGGAGAAAAAGGTGAACGAGGTTTACCAGGTTTACCCGGTCAAAAAGGTGATAGAGTAAGTATTGTTGTTTAATATATTAAATAAAGTATTGATAATTATTTGTTTTTTCAATAAATAGGGACGATCCGGTGAACCAGGCATGCCCGGTATGAAAAAGAAAAATGAAGTTTTTTTTTTCTACTTTTTATATCTATGCGAATATCTTTTGTTTAGGTCATCCCGGTATGCCCGGTCTTCCAGGCCCAAAAGTGAGTTTATAGATTAGTCTAACATTAAATATATATAATATTTTTTTTGCTTTCTTTTAGGGACCATCCGGTAAATAATCAATATTTAAGAGAAAAGATATAATGAACATTTAACTTTTTCAGGTTTACCTGGCCGTGATGGATGTAATGGAACTAAAGTAAAATAATTAATAAAAAATGTACGATTGGATTTTATATCTTTATATATTATTATAGGGAGAACCAGGTCGAGATGGATATAGTGGACAGGTAAAATTTCTTAACTGTTTTACATTCTGAAAAAGAACTAATTAATTATTTATTTAGCCTGGTCGTCATGGTGAACCTGGTGCGTATATCGGCACAATCGATGAATTAAAATTTTTTTAATGTTTATTTATTTTTTTCTTCTTTATTTTTCAGGTCCCCCTGGTCCACGAGGTCCCAAAGGTATGAAACAATGATTTTAATAATAAAATTTCATTTTGTTTTTTGTTCAATAGGTGAACCTGCACAAGCTTTACCTGGATTCAAAGGCGAAATTGTAAGCTTACCAAAATTTTTACATTCTTCATTAATATATAAATATATCATTTGTCATTTTTAGGGACCTCCCGGAGCTCCCGGTCTCCCTGGTGCTGCTGTACGTCTTTACTAATTTTTTTAGTATTTTATCGATAATATTCTTTCATTTTCTAGGGCTCTTCTGGTAATCCTGGTATTCCCGGAGCACCAGGCTCTATTGGTTTTCCTGGTCGAGGAGTAAGTATCGAGATAATGTCTTTTCTCTTTCAGTGCTATGAAAATGGATTTTTCTAGGGTCAAAAAGGTGATCGTGGTGAATCCGGTCTTCCAGGTATAATAAAAAGAAGATTCAATGAATATTTATATGTTCTATTAACTTGTTTAGGTGCACCCGGTGCTGGATTTAGTGGTGAAAAAGGTCAAAAAGGAGAACCAGTAAGTATGAATATTAAAAATGAATATTACTATTCTTGAAATTCATTTAGGGTTCATCTTCTCCCTATACCCCTCCAGGTATAGAAGAACAACAAGGTAACACCAGTTATATCCCATTCTCGGTTACTGGCCCCATGGGTCCAAAGGTAAAAGTTTGTTTTATGTTAAAAATAAAAGCTCATGTTTTTTTTTTGAATTTATTGTTATTGATAGGGTGCTATGGGATCTAAAGGAGAACCTGGTGAGATTGGTTATCCTGGTGCTCCTGGTTCTGCTGGACCATCAGGTTTATCCGGTGAAAAGGGTATGCCAGGGCCTGTTGGACCACGGGTCAGTATTTTTATGAATAATTTTCTGTTTTAATTAGTCTATCTTTTCTTTCTTAATAGGGTCCTACTGGATTACCTGGTCAAGCTGGTTTCCCTGGACAAGCAGGGTACGACTATTTAATATTTAGTTAAAATTTTATCTTTGTTTTTTTATTATTTCAGAGATCGTGGTAGTCCTGGTTATCCTGGTCAAGCTGTATGTGATTTGTTCAATAAGGAAGAGAAAAAGAAAATGTTGTCTTTATTTATAGGGTAGCCCAGGTAGACCTGGTCAAAATGGTTTACCAGGAGAAAAAGGTTTGCAGCGATTGACTATAGTGAAATAAAAAATAAAAATGTATATTCTTTTGTTAGGTGATCGTGGTTTTCCTGGTATGCCTGGCATGTGTTTAACTGTAAGTTTAGAGTTTTTTTGTCACAATGAAATATTTTATTAATACACTTTTCTTTATAGGATCAAGCAGATGGCGTAGCACCTGGACAACCAGGACCAACAGTAAGTTAAAATATTAAATTATTAGATTCATATTTATTTGTTTGTATTTTTATAGGGACCTAAAGGAGAACGCGGTAAAGGATTTAACAAGATTTTAAACAATCATTGAATATAATGTCTTTCGTTTTTTAAGGCCCACCCGGTGGCCCAGGCTTTCCCGGTGCCCCAGTAAGTATTTATTATATAAAATAAAATTTTATTCATATAAATTCTCAAAGGGTTTACCTGG